GACGACAGCGGGCATAATTGTCACGCCATTATCAGGCCCGCATCCGACGCTGTCAAGGCAATTGCGACAATTATTGAGTCGAACGCGAAGTGTTAAGCCAGTACCGCATTAATTAAGACCCAAGCGGTGGCTACAGATGTGAATAATTATCACACACGCGGATGACCACTATGAACTATAAATACCGTGCAGCCTGTGCATGTCTTCACCCCGTCTGCGCATGACCAGGACTACGTTATCATCACTTATAATTAAGGAGCCCGACGGAATCCGAAACGTCAGGAAAATAAAGTCCTTGTTCCAGTGATCGCATCTTTTTGCGCATGTTTCAGACTGTTCTTCGATTACCTATGATTAAGGATTCCCGAGGGGTGACGAAACGTCAGGCAAATAAAACTCTTGTTCCAGTGATCGCATCTTCTTCTGATTCTCTGACAATTTGGTGTGTGCCGTAACCCATCAGCCTTCTGCCGTATAAGGGCTTTTATAATTAAAAGTTGTCTGTCCGTTTTCAGTTAGACAGTACACTGAAGTCCTGAAAATGTAGAGATCTGGTTAGTATGGAGCAATTGAACTTCCAAAATTAGATGGTAACAGATATAAAGTTTACACATGGGTTATCCGATATTAATGCCAGTCTGCTTTCGCCAGTATTGTTTTAAAATTCGCTTCCAGGCAGAAATCTAGGAATTAAAGTTGCTCGACTGCAAATATATTGTCGGAGGATTTGTGTCGGGAAAAAACAAAACTTCCCTAAATCGGAAGTCAGGCAGCATAGATTGAGTTTAAACACATTACTTAAAAGCAAGGAAGTAGCTTTACAAAAGCCACTGCAAAGTGCCAGCAACCGGCTGTGCCCTTAGGCATGTTTTCTCGGTCTCCATCAACTATTGACATGTATTGGCGCTGGGAATTGTCCTCTGTCGCCTACGAACAAGTAGGTAAAACGGCACACACTGATTGGCCTTGCGCTTACGCATGCCTGAAGTGACAATTCAATCGGAGGCTGGAGGTTGACAGGACTACGCGGGCAACATCTAGCAGCGATTGACAAAAGGCGTACAAGGTGCGATTATATAAGACTTGGCAAGCGAAGGTTGAAATGAGTCAGCGTAGTGCTGCTAAGTCTGGAATGCAACAGTGTGGTGTAGACAGGGAGGTGTTACTTGGGCACAGCGTTTCACTAAATCCGGCTCGATCGAGGTAAAGAGTGAGATTACTTCAAAGCACACGATAACGTTTTTAACTGCAAACCGGTTTTGCTTGAAATATCTTCAAACTTTAATGAACATCCTTAATTATTTTTTATGAGTGGAGGATTTTTTGAAATACTCACCATTATGACTTGAACTTCCAGGTAACGATTAATGAAATTATCGTTTGTTGAAAAGCTTTAGCAGACTTGCTTAAATTAGTTGATCCAATTGTGAAAAACCTCTCAGTGTCGGCGGGAGTTAAAACCGCATAGTAGGGAAGCCTTTTACACGAAGCCAGTGTTCTGTCATTTGAGCTACAAATTACACGCCTGCACTGAGGTTAATCACACATGGATCGATTTTACCGCTCGTATGAAATCCACCAATATAGAGCAGCAAGCTGACTGCCTAAGCAGGATTTCCTAAGCAATCATCTAGAAGCCGCAGAATGACCACACGGCTGACTTAATTATTTAGGAGGTTTGGCAGATTTGCTTAATATAGATGACTTAATTGTAAATGCCGCGAGTTTTTTTTTTTCATTATCGTTTGTAATGGAATATGACCATTAATATCAACCTTACTGTCCATATGCTTTAAGAATTGTGCTTTCTTCAGAAGGTTATAGCCTTCTGTTGAGGCGCTTCTTCAACGCATGCCTTATGCAAATGTGTACAGTAGACCCTCGTGAATCCGTATGCTGAACCATATTTAAGTAGCCAACCTCACATCTCTGTGCGGTCTACATTATTTAGAATGACGTTGCTATCTTTAGATCAGTTCTTTATGGGAAGCGAAGAAGTGTAAAGGACGGGAGAAAAAGGATTATATTCTCTACAGAGAAAATGGAGCTTAGGTTGGAGTTAGCGGTCGGACGAGTGTATAGCGATCTGTGAGGAGGGCGCGTCTGGAATGCGGGAGTCAGCTTCAGAGAGATGACTGGCCAGACGGGACTAGGGTATTCAGGCACTGGTGCTTGTGTACTTGCTAGCAGTCGCGAGAGGTTGAGTGCGCACGCGTAGGGTATTTACTGCAGAGGCTCTTTGGACTACAGTCACCTGAAGTACTTTCCTTACATGTTTGGTGCAACAACATGTATAGAAAAAGTGGCCCATCTTTCTGGAATTTAAAATGCTACCCACTGTATGGTCTCATGTTGTTAATTCTTAATATGTTGAGAGAACCTAAAGCTGGGTAACTATCAAATAGATAAATACATAAATTCTACATTTAAAGCGCAAGGGACCCTTTAATTAAAAACTTAGTGCTGTGGTAGCAATAAATGCAAAGTTGCTAATCAAATTTGGCGCGTAGGCAACTGTATAGCAATGGGAATAAGAAGTATGTTTCCCATAGTTTACTCATATATGATTTACAACGGACCCCTGTTTTAAATACTAATCAACAATACTACGTTACTGTGGTGAATTGAGAAATAGGCAGTGAAAAGACCTTCTTTAACGGAAATCGATGGCAGTGTTCACCAAGCCACCGATTTCCTAAAGAATAAGGGAGTAAAACGCTCCTTAATTAGGCAGTTAGATTTATATGATGCAGTGAGATGGGATTGTGATGATAAGGGTTCTGAAGGCTACTTGTCGTGCAAAACAAATCATATAGCATCATGGAGGTGAGACAAGAGAAGCCCATCGGGGACAATGGGATCGAAACGAGGAGGGCACAGTAGAAGTCACGAAAACATCACTGAGATGCGACCCTGCAGACTGCAGAGTCCACCGACAAGTTGGCAAAAACGTAAGAACCCACAATGATCAGCAACGTAGACTTCGAAGACCACCGTCAGAGCTGCAAAAAGGGGAAGGTTTGTTATCGTTTGTAAAGATCTTCTCCGCTTCCCCGTTTTGTTATGTGAACTTTTGAATAGTTGACTCTCTTCCTGCTTTCAAATTGATTTAAACTGGTCACGAGTTTACTCCATTTATTGTTAGTGTATGCTTAATGTCAGGCAGCAAAGGCTCTTTCTTATTGTTGCTATCATAACATTTGTGTACATGTGAACTCCAATATACTTGAAATGGTGCCAGGTTGCGTGGCATGTGGGGGTGGACTAGATAGCTTTGTCAGTCACTGTTCCCGCCCACCCAGGGTTTTCTAAAGATCAAGAGGAGGTAGGTAAAGATACGGAGGTAGATTGAGTGCAAGCCGGCTTCACAACTTAGAAATTCACCCACACATCCCTGTTGGTCCACCTCCTGATGACCCACACGCATGACTTGGTCCTCCACAAAAGCACCAGGTTATCACAGCACTAAGTTGGGCGGCTGAGGCCCCATATGTAAGAGGATGAAATGCTTATTTAGTAGCCATTTTAAAGGAAAATATTATCACATAAGAAGGGTTTGGAGGATTTTAATAATTCAGTGGACCCAATTTTGGAAAACTCTCAGCCTCAGTGGGAGTCGAACCCACGCAACGGGGAAGGCTCTTGCACAGTCAGCGTTCTATCATTGAGCTACGAGGTCCACCATGAGCCGTGAATTTAATCACACTTGGGTCGATATATCCGTCCAAGCTACTGATCGTATGGAATCCACCAGCACTGATAAAGCAAGCTGACTGTCCAAGCTTAGGAAATCCTACCTGTACGGCCAGCTTGCTGTTTCCGACTGGTGGATTCCATACGATCGGTAGGTTAGGCGGTAAAGCTACCTAATTGTGGTTAAATGCATGGCTCACAATGAGCCTCAAAACTCAAGGGTAGAGCGTTGGCTGCGCAAGAGCCTTCCTTGCTGCGTGGGTTTGACTCTGCTGGGAATGCGCCCATTCCCATGATTACTCTGTTAGCAGACGCCCAG